ACATGTATGGTGCAGCATTTCATCATTCAAATGTGAACTATTGCAGCTTCTAGGTTACAATTCTTAGCAGAAAAAAATGTCAAGGATTAAGAATACTTGTAAAAATCTTGGATAGAGTGACCTTAAAGAAGCAATTGACTCAGCTCGAAATTAACAGGAATTCGAAATGACTTCCTTTCAGTTTCTCGAACAGGATATTAAACCCCAGCAGCAAACATTGAAGGATCATCCACATTTAGATATTTACAGAAATCTTTGGGGTAGATCGATAATTTTTCGGACAACGGTTTTTACACTTTCCTTTTGGTAAATAAACTCTCATCTCAATGCGGACGTCGTCCTCCGTCCCTTTTTTATACATGGGATGCCAAGTAAACTCTGTTTGTACACCACTCAAGTATCTACAATCACGTCCCTATTTTATTTTGCATTGGATGATGATGATGAACTCTAAACTGAATCGACTAACCATTCTCAAAAGACTTGAGATTTAAGTAACTTTCAATACTCAGTCTCAACTGTCTCATTCTGAACTTATGTATTTGCAGATTAAGGGAATAAATACGCACTTTCTCCAAGCCAAAAGAATGGTCCAGTCTCATCTCTGTTATTGCGAACAAATTAACAATTTCTATCAAAAACATAGTTAAACTACTAAATCAAATTGCAATACATTCGCATTAACATCGGCTTTCCCCACTTTAAAATATTTAACTCTATTTCGCTCCCTTAAAACTGAGGAACTGATTTTTACCAGCAATTTCTCCAACTTCCATACCACCACTGGTGCTCATTGGCATGTGTGATTCATCTTTCTACCCTCCAATCGAAGAAAGGAATAAACAAAATCCATTAACATTCCTGGCACTTTCTCCTCACGAGTGATTGACCCTGACTTGGAATTTCCACCCTTTCACTCATCTCCACAGACCACCATGCCCGGTAATACTTGGCAGTGTAGGCCTTACACTTTACTTTATTGTCGATGCTGCATTATCCAACTTACTACGGACATTATCTAACAGCAGCACAGCACAAGTAAGCCAATAACTCATTATCAACATACATTCTCATTCCATCAACATCATTTAGGCTTTTGTCTCTCACACTTCGTTCCAGAGTTGCGTCATGCTAGTTAGCTCGTAGGTTTTTTTTCAAGTTCCCCTCTTGCGAAACAAGTAATTTATGAATGAACGCACTGTCCTGGATGATGATCATAACACGTAATGGTCACATAAACGATGATTTAACCCTTTCCGATATTCCCAATAAAAGAATGTGAAATTGCACAACATTATTTTATATTGTTCGTTCACTTTTTTTTTCGATTCAAATAAATTTAGGGAATTTCAACCCTTTATTACATATATAAGATTAGTTCGTACAATGAGAATTCCAAACACAACTATTCAGCTATACGCAGAATACTACTCTCACAAGAAATTAACCTTTGAGATGGAAAGCGAGGCATGTTTTGGGAAAAATCGAAACTAATAAAATCCCCAATGGTTTCACACCCCAATTGAATTAAACATGGAAAACGATTATTTTTCAAAAAAATTGAATTACTAAGCGGGATAAGGTGAAAAATATTGTGAGGGATTAGTTCAAAACTGAGACCAAGTATTTGTACATATTTGCAAAAATTGTCATAAAAAGAAGTACAATAATCTGGTTCATTCTTTAGGAGAATGTTGAAAACATTTTTACGTGCAAAGTTACAAAAATACGAGTCGCTCGAATTTAGGACTTTGCATGCAAATACAACACGAAAAGTTGTCATCTGGATAAACGGATGACGCACACCAATCCCCCCATTTGCAAGAGGCAAATAGAGTAGATGGCGTCCCACCCAACGTTTTGATCCTCTCCAGAGAAAGTTTTCAATTAAGATAGTAATTTCTGTTATAAAAGTTTCCGGGGGGTCAAGAACCTTGAGTACATACCACAGTATTGGGAGAAGGTACGTATTCAAAATTTTAGCCCTCGAAAAAAAACTAACTGCGCAAGTTTTACTGTTATAAAAAGATAACTTCCTACAAAATTTTTCAAACAATAAGGTAAAATTTTGTTCCATGAAACTTGTATTCCCAAAAAATATACCCAGAATTTTTAACCCATCCTTTCTGGTGGAGAAATTGGTCTCTACCCAAGTAGTCCCCCCTAAGAAAAGTAATTCTGACTTACTACTGTTTAGCTTAGAAGCTGAGAATTGAGAGAAGTAGCTATACTCGTTAATTACAATTTGGACTTGTTCCTGACTTGAAAGTAGGGCAGTCGTATCATCCGCGTAGGCAGACAGGTACTTATCAGGTACCCTTGGCCATGCGGCTGGCCCAGACGCCAGGAGACGGCTGTTCAGCTTAAAAAGAAATGGTTCAATTACGAGTACGTACAAGACTGAAGCAATCGGATCTCCCTGTTTTAGACCAACTTTTAGGGGAATCTTTCTAGTAAAAGTGTTACCGACAACAACCGAGATAGAAAAGTCGGTATGCAAGAGTTTAATGTATTTAATAAAATTTGGAGGAAACCCATATTTCTCAAGTATTTTTATCAAATACTCAGAAGACACCCGGTCAAAAGCTGCCTCTTGATCGAGTGAAAAGAGAGCCCCCACCAGCTCATTTGACTGAAAGGCATCACGCATGAAAGTAAGGTTGTCATAAATTGAACGACCCTTAATTCCACACGTTTGCCATGGACCCACCAGTAAGGGTAAAATAGGAAGTAGTCGGGATTTTAAAACGTTGGATAATATTTTGTAGTCCCAGTTAGTCAAGGAAATCGTCCTAAAGTTGGAGAGATCATCCACAGACCCTTTTTTATGAATTAGGCTTGAAATAGCGGTGCGCATGCATAGGGGGAATCTACCACTATTTAAGGAGAATTGTGCAACATTCTCTAAAATAATGGAGAATTGGTCCGAAAATTTCTTGTAAAATTCATGTGTAAGTCCGTCAAGTCCAGGTGCCTTGTCATTTTGTAGCTTGGAAATGCACGCCGCAATTTCTGTGGAACTAATCTTTGCAGCAAGATGCTCTGATTGCTCCCCAGGTACAGTTGGAATTCCTTGCATAAAATTATCGAAGTTGGTAAAGTCCACTGCCTTATATTGAAATTTAGTTTCAAAGAAGTCAGTAATTAAGGACACTTTACTTTCATGGGACATATAAGAAAACGAATTAGAAATTGATACAGGATTATCACGACAATTTATTTTCTTCTTCGGGTAATCCTGACAAACTAAAAAATTAGAAAAAGTATTATCTAAACTATCTATGAAAATTTTAAAAATATCAGCGTTACTAAGATGTTGACTAGAACTAACGAGTTGAATATCCTTTTGTACTTTTTTTACTACATATTTGAATCTACGTTTAAGCGAAATGCCAAACTCCATTGAAACCTGAACTATCTTATTTTTTAAAAAGGTATAACTTTCCTCAGAGTAATCGGATTTTAAAATAAAGTCATTGAGTAAAAAGGAAATTGAAAAATTAAAATCATCAATGTTTAAAAGGTGGTTCGGAAAAATCCATATATTTTTAAAATCAAACGAATGGTCAAATTTGAGAAAGATACTAAAAATCACGTGATCACTAATGAAAGGAAACATTTGACATTTTACAACATTAGGAAACTGACTAGCATTAAGGTAAATTCTATCTAATCTTGCCTCCGAATTGTTTTTTAATTTACTAAAATACGTCATATCACAACCAAAAGGGTTAAGATGACGATACGCATCTGAAAGATTAAAATTTTGGCATATTTTTGAAAATTCTATCACTATCCCTTTGCGACGCTCAACTGATCGTAAACGGTCTAGCGACTCATTGAGAACAAAATTCCAATCACCAGCAAGAAAAACATTATCTTGACTAGGACAAGTACATATGGAAGACTTTAAGATACGCTAATACGCGGTGTTCGTTCACTGACTTCTCATTTTTTGGATTAGTGTTATTAATCGTGTACTGGACTCGTGATATTTATTTGTCCTGAACCCTTACCCACAAGGACAGCATGATAGGAGAATAGCCCAAATATCCCATCCTGCAAGTATTACTGTCGTGTTCCGTCCGTTTGTGTAGCTTTGAACCACCACAGGCTGCACTGGGGACGAAAAATGTAAATAATGTCACACCACAAAGGAAGGACGAGGAATAAAGGGTTTCGAGGTCTCTGGCTGGAGACACCGGAATTTGAAATAATTCGAATCGTGGAATGAATTACTTTAGCCTCACTGGGTAAGAATAGTAGAGAACAAATTGCGGTCAGGATTTTCATTGAAACTCAAATTTTTTCTTCTTGCCCACGCCGGATTTCTCATTCTTTTTAGGCAGAGAGTGGAAATGAAAAAAAGAAGCCCCACTGGGCACACCACAACCAACAACCCTTTTCCACTATAAAGCTACACTCTGCAATTACTAAACTTGTCCAACGAATAATAATACCAAAAATGTGCACTTGTAAAACTTGACGAATCTTATTAAAGCATAATTATATTAAACGTTCCGGTTTACCACGCCAAAAGCTGTTACAAAGTTACACAAATTGGAGATGATCCAATAAATCCAGTGAATGTCATTTTGAAGGGCAAAAATGAAATACAAGTTCTCTTAAGCTTCTTTATCTTTTTGCATAAATTACCAGTAAAAGAACCATACAAAATAATTACATAATCATCTAATATGCAAAAAGGTCCTGCAAAAAAATCTCAAGTTTCTTAATTTCAAATCAGCTCAAAAGTATGAACATTCCAAGTGTAAACATTGCAAGAACAATTTCTGCGAATATTTGTCTAATACTTTTCATATAAGAAAAAGAAAACCCTTGAAAAAATACCTCACATTTCCAACTTCAAAGTGAAAGTTGACCAGCTTTCTAGTCCAAAATGTCCAAATGTGAAAGTGGAAATGCACTCCGTACTCGACTTGAGCTTCTCCTCGCGACATCTTTTCACAAAGTGGAGACCGACACTTTTATACGCGGCAAGTGGCCAAAGGACGTTGGTGGGTTCACAGCAAAAACAACAAACAGAAAACAGTTGACCTGGAAATTCAGTGATTCGCTCTTCTCATCTTCAAAAGTCGGGATCTTTTTCTTCGAAAATACGTTCCCATCAGTAAATTTGAAAGTGATTAATTAATTAAAGTGTAAAAATTAACCGTGGAGTTTGTTTTAAAACCAACGTGATAAAAGATACAGCGTAGTGAGAAGTTGTAAAAATAAGAAATTGTAATAATTTTGAGTTATCGAATTGACCGACATCATGGAGGATGGTAGTGGTGGTGGAGGAGGAGGACAACAATACATTGGAGTTTGGATCCCCCAAGAAGATCAGGCTGTGTCGAATGGTAAAAAAAATTCTATGATAATTAAATAAGAGTGAAGAGTATTTAGCACAGTTTGATAAGTATTTATTATTTTTTAATTCCTAGACAAGTCAACGGTATTGATGACACCGCAATGCTTGAAAGATCTGGCAGGGATTTTGAAACGAAATCCTCGCGCACGTTTCTTGAAATTTTCATCGGAAGCAGAGGCCTGGACGTCGGTAGATGAAAATAATATCAATTTTTCTACTCCACCCCCTTGCACAGCAAAATTGGACGGTCCAGACCATTCTGAAGGTCGAAGTGAGTTGGAACAGGCGAAAAAACGCAAAGGTGATAAAAATGATAGATAGTAAAATTTATTCGTTTATTCATGAGTTCAATTCGATGTTGTATTTCATTTGCCCTGTTATATTATATATATTATAGGACGGATGTCACTTCCTGCAATGAACAGCGTTACCAAGCTATGTGTCGATTTGTCAAAGAAATTAGTAATAGAAGAAAAGGACACTCGATTTCCTACCCCAAAAATTCAAGAACTGACCGCAATGGCGAGGGAAATTAATGCACAAAATAATGATGCTGTGAAGGCTCGTGTGAAGGCTAATCCCAAAATATTGATCAATGATTGTGATCGTCCTACAACCGTTCAAGAAGGTTGTCGCTACAACGCGCTTCATGTCGCGGCCAAATGTGATAACGATAAAATTATATCGTACATTCTTGATAAAGTTGGGAGTGTCAAATTTATGTCGTGGTTATACCCCAACAAGAGTGGGGAAGCTATTGGGTGAGAGATGTGAAAGTATTTAATACAGTTAATTTAATTACATTTATAATAATTAGCTAATGCATTTAAAATTGTTATCACGCACACAGGGAACTAGTTCGATACGCAACAGATGCATACTTGAACGCACCGGACAAGATGTCATATGAAACTCCTTTGCATTTTGCTTCAAAATTTCTTTGTGTGAAAGCAGTCGAAATGTTACTTCAGCATCCTTGGTGTAATGTGAACTCTGTAAATTGTTTTAACCAAACTGCCCTAGATGTGAGATTTATATATTTCTAATAATTTAAATTACCAGTTTATCTTTGTATCCTAGAAACTTCAACTATGTTTTTATTATTCCTTTCATTTTTGTTTGTTGTATAGATCGTAGGAACCCGAGCAGATTCCAAATCCAAAGATTATACAGCTAAAAAGGAGCATACAATCAAACTCTTAACAAGCTTTTACATTGTACCTGTCTGGAGAGATCCTGGTTGCATGCGAATGCCTCAAATTGGACCTGTTGCCCATATTCGTCAGCTTGGAAATCGAATTCCAAAGTGTTTAATGAAGAGCTATCCGGACTTTGATGTATGTATGCTTTCAGTAACTCGTCACAATGATATATGTATATATTGATTACATGTGTGTATCTATGTATTATATTTTTAGATATCTTTGCTTGGCCCCGGTCACAAAGATCAAATTCCAGAAGTTAAGATATCACTCAACTCTTCAGTGCGGCTATTTGAGGAAAGCAATAACTGGAAAATCGAAGGTTTTGCTGGACCAACTACTAAAGAAGCTGCAAATGACCTTTTCACCTTACTTAAACAGGGTAGAAACGGGTTTCTCAACGATAGTGCAAACTTTTTGACTAGTAGCCCGACCGGAAATGGTGGTGGTGGTGATTTGACCCCTAAGACCCCTCCTCGGACTCCCCGTAAAAATCTCTCACTTGGAAATTCTCACACGCGCTCTCCTTTGCTTAAGTACTATGTCCCCGGTACTCCTCCGCGATCACCAGGAATTTCCTCTCCCTCAATGGGAGAAGCCATTAACCGGAGGGTTAAAGATGTTGAGAAAGGCCTTGAAAGATTCGCCATGAAATTATCATATGCTTGTAACATTGAATGGAGAGAAAACTGGAAGTGTCTGGGTTTTTTTGGAGACATTTTGAATGATGATGGGCTGTCTAAATTTAACGATTTGTTAGGCTTACAAGATTTCTGTTCCATAAATCGCTCGTATAGCTTTGTAAGTTTATGTTTTACCTATGTTTAGAATATTTCCAATTTTTTAGTGCCTTTTGTATTACTCATTATTATATAACAATTTCAGCAAGAAGATTACTATCTCGGGGGTAATAGTAACGGCGATCAATCTGTGATTCTGGGTCTTAGTGACTTATCATCTAATTCTGAAGAACTGAGCTTCAATTCAGCAAATAGCCGCAAATCTTCATCATCGTCAAACTCTTCATTCCATAGCGCTGAAACCTTCTTGAGTGATGATGATGATGCCTTCCTTGAGTGTTTGGATAAGCAGTTATATATTGATGGGTAAGTATATCTTTTATAAATTAAGAAACCTTAACTGCTCGTTTTTATCCCATAGCTTATTTATTGACTAAATTAATAAATTACTGTTCGTTTTCTTACAGAAGTACACCCGGGAAGGAGGACTTCCATTTGTTTGATGCTCTAAAAGATTATGAGGACATGATATCAAGCGAACGATTTCCGTATGTTTTCCAATGGATCAACTCAATGAAGTCGTCTGGATTCTCCAATTACGAGGAGAAAAAGTATGTCACCTTTAACTGGTGATGTAAAATAGCAACAAGACGCATTAGTTATACCCCTTTTATTTTTCAGAACCTTTGATATTGGTCGTGGAAAGAGGCATCGTGATTTTCTTTACGTGCCTAATTATCAATCCACTCCTAAGCGATTGAATTTCAACGACTCCCGTCCAATGAACAATGGCAGCCCAGATATTTTAAACTTTTAATCTCGAAACATATGAATGATAATACTAATTTAGTTCTATTTTACTTATCGGTTGAAATTATACATCTGCGAAGAAGGAACCTTTTAGGTTTTTAAGAGTATTACTCTGCTGAGGTGCTATCTGATTTTACCTCTAATTGTCTGGCTTCCATTAATAAATTATTGTCGCATCCAAAGTCCAGTATAAAGTTGATTGTCAGTACAAATCCGAGTCATGTGATGATGTGCTGTAATAATCGCCATGTTATCAATCCACTTACATAATAACCAAAAAGACTGTCGTACCAAGTGCCTTATTGTGTTAAATACATACATATATCACGATTTTACGCTACTCGTCAATATTAATATTTTATCTTGAACTTAGGCGCATTTAATCCGTCTCTCAACTACCAAATAAATTACTCTAGACTTTGTTGTTTAATTAAAATTAAATAATAAAGTTTAATATTTGTTAAATATGTATTGAAAATTTATGAAAATATAAATGAATAAATCACCACTAATCATAACCGATGAAGAAGCGTGATCTAAGTTAACTAGTTACTCTGCGCAAGTTTGCAATTCGAGCTGGTAAAGAAAGTCACATTAACTATTTAGTTCACGAAATAATTCAATTATTCGATAGTAATTCCGACTCGACTAACTACTCAAAGTTTCTAATTTAATTAGGCCTATGACGTCTTTAATAGTCATTTGTACAGTCAGTTTTCCCTCGATTTCCTTATACATATCTTGCAACTCTAAATAGTGACTCTGTTACCATTTTACGAATTATATTAAATTAAGACATTTTGCATTTCTCGACTCTCGCCCACTTCCTACTTATCTTTTCATTAAGAAATTAACCATCGACGTGCATGCAAAATGATGAAAAAGTAGTGAAAAAAAGTAGGTGGATCACACGCATACTTTGAACGCTAAAGTTTACGAGCAATAATTCTAATTGGTAAATAAAATCCACATTCCAAACTTGATCTGAACCTGACTCAGCATCGTCATTCCCAGGAGTTGGAAAATTTGGCATTGAGTTATTAAATGAGGAAGAGACAATTAATGCTACATCAGTTTTGTTTTTACAACGCGTACTTATCATCCTGGTCTTGATCCTCTCCTGCCTGGTCTGTACGTAACTACGTACGTATTTACATGGTGCAATAAGGGCATGATGATGTACACATTATGTGGAAGTAATTGGGCAAATAAAGAGCGATCAAATCGTTTCTTTCACACACGCTGCTGACCTTTAATGGACTTCTCACCATGACCCTGAGATCTGTATTCACTGCGCCAAGTAATCATATACTCACTCAATAGTGATAACAATGGCCACGACTAACTACGTATTAAATACTTGCTGAGACTACGTGATGTTGTCTTTAGTTTACTTACACACACCTTCACTCATTTGTACATATGAGCTATTTATCAACCACTTCTGAGGTTTTATCCAGTCATGGCGTTTTAATGGAACGAAGGCGAGGAAGTCTGAGTCCAAGTTGATGGATGTATTTAAAACAATTATGAGTCGTCTTTGTTAAAATAGGCGAAGCTTGTATGACGAAATATGTCCATACACGCCTAGGATGCAATACTTTTATTATTAGGTTTTATTTCTTGATGCTTAAAATTTCTTTACAATTTCTTCCTTCAACCATGTCATCCGAGAATTCTTCTTTAAAATAAATCATTTCCTTGCTAAATGTGAATCTGTATATTGAATTGTTACCACAAAATATTTTCCGTACTCACCACACTGTTAATGGAATACGTCAGTTTTGGAATTGGAGATCAAAGTGCACGATTTGCATTATTCACATCATGTGTGTAACACAGGGGAGGATATCGCAATAAATTTTAGATGTATGCACCTAAGTTTCCCAACTTTAATCATTTTCCTGGTCTTTTACACAATTTACCTTGATTAAAAATTATTCCTCCCATGAATAAATCTAATTAAGACATGATGCAGGACAAAGTGTGAATGAATAAATTAAGAATACTTTATAAATCACGCACTCTTATTGCTTCCTCCTTTCTTCCTCTCAATCGTGGCGTGTTGGTGATCTTTCATGCCGTATTTGTTTCACGAGTTCAATCAATAATCCTTAGTAGTAGTCGACATTTGAGGAGAATTTATTATTTAGGCCCATGTGGGAGTTGGTGGGATGACTTTCATAAATATCTAATACTGCTAGGCTTAGAATTCCTGTGCCCTTTGTCACTTATTCTTTTCATCCTTGCTGTTTTTATCATCCGAGGTCGTCCCTGTCATATCCATTATAAAATGCATTATAAAATGTGCAATTGTACGAGCAAGAAAATGAACAAAGAATTTGTAGCTGTAGAATTGCATAGTGGTCCTTTGACAATTGAATCACTGTTCTCTACTCGATCGCTCACCCTTCAATCACAGTCTCCACCTCCATCAGTATCATGATTCTTAGTTCCATGCTTAAGTTTTGCAATTAATTACGTCCACATTTGATAAATTTTTGATACGAAAAGAAAGTAATGATTTTTATTTACCAATGTTATGTAAATTTGATTAATCAAAACATGATAATTATTTGACTCCAGTTTGTCGTTAATGTCTGGGTTTTAAACGTTGGCCATACTGTCTGAGAATTTTTTATCCTACTAAAAATATGAATCTAGCCAATTGTTAAATTGAAGTATTAGAATATGATATTTAATTTGAAGTACTCAAAATAACCTTAATTGATAATTTTTCTAAGCTTTATGCCAATTGCTTATCCTACTCAACTCCCTGTGACACTTTGACATCTTCTACGTCAACGTTGTCCGTCTAAAAGTTCTCTCAGGATTAGTAAGTCGTAGTTCTGCCTTTATTAAAGCAATCGACGCCCATAACTTGCTCAGAGCTAGGAGTAGTCCTTCCGAATATTCCTTCAAACATGGATCGTCTGTAAAAATTGAATTATTATTTATTTATATTATGCATATTAAACATATTTTAAGTGATAAGTATTTTACATTAAGTAATTCCAACTAAAAATGATTACCAGATACAGTATCCGCGTAAAGGCGGTCTAATTTTTCATAGCGATCTTCCAAGTTGTCTAACATCAACTCCAATGACCGATTTCCTAATTACATAAAATGATCATTGTAATTATAACTGGTCACATGGAGAAATCATGAAAAGTAGGAAGTAATACAAAGTATCATATACATTTTTAAATATGTTGGAAGAAATTTTATATATTGTAAATAAATATGATATATACTCAAAAATATATACTCGTATTACATTAAATTTGATAATATTGATATACACGATAAGAGAATGGTTAAAAATTACCTTCCGTATTCGACATTGCAAGATGACCCACGGTCTGCACGTAGTAAATTTAGTTAGTAATTATTATAAATTTGGACGAAAGTAAGTAAAACTGCAGAAAGAGAAGCTAGTTCAGTTGAGATTTATTATCTGAGAATTTGCATAGATATTTAGATCTTCTCATTTAGCCTACATATTTTGCAACAGATTGTGCATGCTTGGGTTTCATAAATATGAAAGTCTAGTATGAAAGTCGAGTATCGAAATTGCATTTGATATTTTATTTAATAATTTTAAGAGACTTACTAAGCTGGACCGTGTGTTGATAACGCACATCTTTTTTTGTTTAGAGAATTGGTTGTATGTTTAATAAGAAATAATTCTTGGGTGTGTGATATGGATGAAAACTGGTGAATATTACCTTGAGCAAAGGATTCTTTTTATTTCAAGAAAAATTTTACACCATCGTTACACTAAATACTATTCTTAGAAATAATATAAATACTCATATGCCCTTAAGGCTACTTGAATATACTGAAATAGATTTCCCTTACTAATCCTTTTCTCACATTTTTTCCGTTCGACACAAACATTTCCATAGTTGAACAAAAAAGGTCCGTTGACCCTTCAGTTTAAATATAGATCAAAGTCAAGCATATCTGACTCAAATACAAGAACTATAACCCTACAAATCTATTGAGGGGTTTGTCTTTGTATAAATAATAGTGATAGTTATTATTGACAATGTATTGGATAGTATCATGGTTCCATGATTAAATTTTGCAATTAATTATGTCCACACTTGATTGACACGTAGCTTTAGCTATGCATGTAGAAAATTGAGATTGGTAGAGTCAATTGCATGCTTTAAGCTCATATGCTACGGGTATTTGAACCATATTTGGAATCGAATATGGTGATTTATTAGCTTTTTAACATGCAAATCGCATTAACGAAATATGTATGTTGTATTTCCGATGTGAGAACAAACGCAGTTTGAGAAGCAATAACATAACCAACCAACACCACCAAGAGGGGAGAATAATCTGTATTCTTCATCAATTAAATTCCACTGTGTCTCTGAATTATTTATTGCTTCAAAGCAGTCAAGATTCTCCAAGATTTATTGGATTCTCCACGCACACTCACTGCATTATTGCATATATTCAACAATTAGGCTCAAGTGTTGTGTTTCTATCTCCACTCGAGCAGATCCGCTTAATTCTTTGAAGCCATAAAACAAGTGTCCTCAGGCGTGTATTACAAATATAATCAGATCAACAATATGTACTCTCGCATGTGCAGTGTTTTGTTCGCTGTTGGACATGCAATAAGTCAAATTCGCCGGAAGGATTACTTCTACTATGAACTAACACTTGAGATGAGAGCATACTAATAATAGCACACTTGAATTTTTTTAGGGGACGATGGCACAATTGACTTGAGAGTTAGATTGATACAATGCTTACTAAGATTTTAGTTGAGCCTGCTCATTTATTTGTTTCATCCTTCCTCCATTATTTCTCGTTGACATTGGCATTGAATGGAGATTGAATAATCCAAAATATTATTACAGCTCTGAGGAAGCAATCATCAAATTAATTCAAATTAAGCATAACTGGTAATTGACATAATAATCTCGTAATAATGTCTCAATGAATGTCCGCATTCATCGTCCATCTGTACCGCAATTTATCAATCGTCATCATTTTGTCCAACCATTGTCGTCATACTCTAATAAATGTTAAAATATGCATGCATGCGAAAAATGGCAAGAGTTAAGGTTAAGGTAGGAGGAATTTTAATTGAATATTAAATTATACAATATGGCACTATAGTAATTCATCAGTAGGGAGTCTGTGTAAGGGAAACTGCGAATATTACAATTGGAAATTAATTGAAAATTGTGACGAGGCAATGTTATTGCTGCACTTTCAAATAAATTTGTCAGACCTGTATTGCAATACAATGTGGAGTAATTGTGGAGTAAATTCATGAGAGCGTGAAATCCATGATTGATCGAAAGGTTCAATGTTAAGTTCACTTGCGTGAAATTTCAATTTTTGACGTTATCCCAAAACTGATACTTTTTATTCAATGCAATATTCCTTGATTGATTGATGCATTTTCGATTGTGTGCAAATTTTCGGAATAAATTGCATGCGTTCTTCATTCATGGAATACACATGCATAAAATGCATCGATTCATGCTT